GAGCAGGGAGGGAATTGTCAGAACTGTGTCAGGACTACAAGATTACAGGCGTCTAAAAAGAAATTTACATCTAGGCAAAAAATGTGTAGCCACTTATAGCATGATGATAGAAGCAGCAGCCTGGAAATCTTAGGTACTGGGGCAGGATCTTAGCAGTGTGGACAGAGAAGAAAGTAACATTTGAACTAAGGAATATGCTGAAAACATCCAAGATGGCGAATTTTGAACTCCCCTGACCCAACTGATTATGGCAGACCCAGGTTTACCTGATGGGGTTAAGCCTCACTGCCCTCAAGGTCATGATTAGGGGTCAGAAGTTTGTGGCTGTGCCTGATCTCTGGTTTATCGCATCGGAGCAGACATCAGGAGGTTCCTGGGGGCGGAAGGGACTTGTTCACTTGTATTTGATATCTTATTACTTTGCTCTTGTAGCTAAGGAGCTGCTGGCATGGGGTTTAAAACAAGTCGAGTGCAGTCAGCCAATCCCAGCCTGCAGCAACCCTCCCCAAATCTACCAACACAGCTCACCTCTGGCCTGCTACCCCCGCTACTATTCCAACGCCTGGTCCGTCCTGAGTAGAGATTCTGCCAGTCATGCCACATTGCGTGGTGCTTTAGTGTATGTCTACTCTGCAGTCAGAGGGGTGTCTGCAGCATCTGCAGCATGGCCAAGCTAGTTTTGATCTCACTAGCTCCAATAACAATAGCCGTGAAGCCATGGCAGCACAGTCCCTACCAGTGCACCCAGAACCCTGGGTGTGTACTCTGTACTCAAGTGACTAGCCCATGCTGCTGCCCACTGCTGTTATTGGAGATAGCTAGTTCAAGGTATGGCTGCAGTCACACCTCTGTATTAGAACTGGAAAAGATTCAGTGAAGGGCAATAAAAATGAATAGGGGAATGGAACAGGAGAGATTAGAAGGACTGGGACTGTTCAGCTTGGAAAAGAGACGACTATGGGGGGATACGACAGAGGTCTAATAATTCATGAATGGGGTGGAGACAGTGAATAAGGAAGTGTTATTTACTCCTTCATGTAACACAAGGACCAGGGGTCACCCAATGAAATTAATAGGTATCAGGTTTAAAACAAACACAAGGAAGTACTTCCTCACACTACGCACAGTCAACCTGTGGAACTCGTTGCCAGGTGATGTTTTGAAGCCAAAACTATAGCAGGGTTCAAAAAAGAACTAGGTAAGTTCCTGGAGGATAGGTCCATCAATGGCTATTAGCCAAGATGGGGAGGGATGCAACCCCATGCTCTGGGTATCCCTAGTCTGACTGCCAGAAGCTGGGAGTGGACGACAGGATCACTTGATGATTGCCTGTTCTGTTCATTCCTTCTGAAGCACCTGGGATTGGCCAGGATACTGGGCTAGATGGACCATTGGTCTGACCCAGAATGGCTGTTCTTATCTTCTCTGATTGCAGTGTAGACATACAGTGTGTGAGTGGCCATCAGTCTCATTCATTCTTGTGACCAAAATTCAGGATTTGAATCCAGCTCTCCAGAAAAGAAAAGCTAGGGGCATCTACTGGCAATAACCCTGTAGTACCCCCAATTGCCCTGTCAGGAATCCTCCTCATTGACTGCCAGGCACAGGATACATTGCCCATATGTGGAAAGTAACCTCGTCACTATTGTTCCATGAGATGCTTTGCAGTGTAGTTTCTCCAGCGTTTTAGCCGACATGAATTTGTAACCAGGGCTCTGTGGGTTGAGGGGATTTATTTAATAAGGTGCATGGACTTTTTCCCTCAGTTCATTGTTTAGCATCTTTTGTATTGATGTTTACTAGCTGTAAAATCCAAAGAATTGTAATTCTCTCCCCCTTTATGGCATTAGATTTAATATCTGCTTGGAAAGGGAATATTACTACTGTACTCATGTTCATCCTTAGAATAACTGCTAATGCCAAAGCATACTGCTTCCGAAGAGTGCAAAGTTAGCTACTGTTTGTGCTTTATGTATTTTAGTCACAAGGGTTTAATTGCTATTGTAGGAATGAGGTATTTTTCATAAAGAGTCAATTTCAAATATGTACAGACAAGAAAATATAAGGACAAGGGAGAGAAGAAAAATTGCTCTCCTTATTTTTAAATCCTCTATGGGCTTGGTTCTGTCTTTCATACCCACCATTTTCTTCCCCCACTCTGCTCCCTCCTGGTGCAAGAGCCTTCTCCAGCGCACTGCCTGCCATCTGAAACAGCCTCCCTGGGTTTCTCCACCATAGCAACTCTCCTTCCCATTTCAAACCTTTGCTGAAAATGTGTTGTCCCATATCTATATTTTTCTCTTCCCTTCCATTGTATTTACCTCTCTGCAAAGCATGCTGGGATACCCTCTGTAGGAAGGATGCCAGGCACAATAAAGTTGCATTAGAAACATTTGAGGTATCTTTAGTGCTTGCAGATAAGATTATTTTATTCATGCCTCTGATATAGCAAACATGTTTTCCTACTGGGTCATGTTAATCACTACTCCCCCCCTCCCCTCCCCCCCGTGAACTAATTAGATATTAAATTTAACTCATTCTATAAATCCTGCTTTAAAAGTTAGGTGACCTAGGTTTGGATTTCAAACCCCGTGGAGTTCACCTTTCGTCTCTGAGTGCTTTGTCATTCTTTTGCCCTCGTTATATGGTTGATGCAGCTTAGGCTCCCGGCCATGGTAAATCCCATCATAAACTTGCTTTATGACCCTCGCCTCTCTGGTGCTCCAGTGGGCTGGTTTCCCCTCCCTGAGCTCCCTAATGGCACCAGGCCGAGTTTTAATCACTGTAAATTCAGGTTCTGGTCAGATTAGCTGGGAGATGGGATGCGCGGTTGTTGTTTTGCAGTGATGTATTGTTTATGGGATTACTGTGCTGAATAGCAAAGGGTGTCAGCTGATATTTATTACTTTAAGCTGTCTCAGCTGTTCTGGTTCAGCAAGTAAACCTACATTCAAAATGAATGAGGGACTCTGCTTGCCTTGTATGCCATGATGTGTGCAAATGTGATTATTGCTTCAGACGCTGGTGAAACAGAAATCATTCTGGGAGCATTTTTTACCCTTTGCAAGCAATCATGCAGATTTCTAAAGAACGCAACCGAGCTGAGGGCTTCGACATATCTCCTTCAAGCTCCATTGTAAACCTATGGCCTCGTGTACCTTGAGAATCTCTCTCTAAAGTGATGCGCTTTAAACCACTCTATTGATTGCTTAAAGCATTACATGTTTTGCACATAGGTTATACATTGTTACTGAAGGGAAAACACAAAGCTACTGGGCCTTAAAATGAATCTACTCTCGACTTTTCCCATTTGGTCAGAGGATTTCTGACAGTTTGTTGCACACACTGATCTCTGCTGCAGTACTAAATAAAAATGAAGAAAGCGACCCTCCCTGAGATTAGACCCATTATTAGAATTAGGCCTCTGTGTGTGTGTGTGTGTGTGTGTGTATGTCCCATTGTAAATTGATGCACCACTGGGTTTGTTTTATCATTTAAAACTGCAACAAGGGCCAGTTTAGAAAACCACTGGACCTCTTCCGATAAGAAGTACCCAAGGGGACAGCTACCAGGGTAAATTTCTGTTTCCAAACTGAGATCCTCTGTGCTCCTGATTAAGCCCTGAGGATTCAGTGTCCTCTTTAACACCTTCTGTATGCCCACCAACTTTCCGGCTAAGAGCTAGACAGGACTCGATTCAGAACCAATCTATGCATTTCTTTTCTTCACCGAAAGGGATTGCTGTTGTGTGCCAACAACACTCTTCCATTGTTATATGCAGCATAGTTGTCGCCATGTCAGTCCTAGGCTATTGGAGAGACAAGGTGGTGAGGTGATATCTTTTACTGGACCAACTTCTGTTGGTGAGGAGACAAGCTTTTAAAGCTTACACAGCCCTGAAGAAGAGCTCTGTGTAACCTCAAAAGCTTCTCTCTGTTACCAACAGAAGTTGGTCCAGTAAATTAAAAGATATCCTCTCTCCCATCTCGTCTCTCTTAACAACACTCTCGGGAAGATCAGGCTCTTAACCTATTAGTCCCACTCTGTGCTGGCCTGAGAAGTAAGAGAGCAGGAAATGACATGCAGCCCTGCCACTGGACAAAGCAGAAAGTTACTAGCAGGCTGATCAAATATTTTTAAGGTCTAACGACTTTAAAGGTGTAGTAATAGTCAGCAAACTGACTCTACGAATGACCCACTGGGGCTCCCTGTCCTCTCTCTGCTGCCCCCAATCCCATCTGCCCACTTTACAAGTCCAAGGATGGATTTTCAAACCTTGGACCTGAAAATCCAGCTGGCTTCCTCCTGCTTTGAACATCATCTTTCATACTAACTAAAGACTCTGCACTTGGACTCTAGGGGGCAGTTTAGAGGGTGCACATGGCTGACGAGAATCCAGCTCGCGCGCTCCTTGTTGGGTCAGCTCGGCAGGGCTTTTAGGTCAGCCGCACGAGCAGGTAAAATGATGCTTTCTTTGCTGGAACATTCCCTTCACAGATCCCAACTTATTTTATGGGCAATGAATTTAGGACTCCCAGCAGCCCTGTGTGGTAGAGGAGTGTTATCATCATAGATGAGGAAGTCTATCTATTTAAAGTACTTATATGGCCCCCATCACAGGTGCATCTGAGTGCCTTACTGTCCTTACTGTATTTCTCCTCCTAACACCCTTGTGAGACAGAGCAGGGCTGTTATCCCCATTGTACAGATGGGATCTGAGGCACAAAGAGACAGGAAGTCTGTGGCTCAGCAGGTTATTGACCCGAATCCCAAGTTAGCACCTAACTCTAGGGCCAACGTCCTCTAAAATTGACATACAGGAAGACTGAGTGACTTGCCCAGGGCTTCAGTAGTCCATAGCAGAACCTGGACTTGAGCCTCGATCTTTTTAACGACAAGTCAATCCTAACGCAAATATGTTTTCCGAATGACAGCTTGAGGATTCCTTAGCCCCTTCCTTGACTAACGTGCCTTTCTCTGTGTCCACCTTTTGTCCGAAGGACGGCATGAACTGGGTCTGCAAAAATGTCAATGCAAAGAAGAAATAGCCCCCCCTCCCGAGCTGCATGGAAATGGAGGAGCTGTGGAAGCTGAATTCTATCCTGGAAGCACTCGTTTGCTGCTTTCTGACCAAATGTTTTTTCCATCTGTGCCGAGCTACAGCTGTTAAAAAAAGGGAACAACAACAGTTAAACCCACTGCTGGAATTGGACCTTTACCTGCTCTTTAGTACAGTTATTTTTCCCAATAAAGGAATTGTACTTGCCCCCCCTCTGTATAAATAGTATTAACTGTCTCCACACTCATCTGGTTAGAAAATGTGATTTTAAACAAGAGGAAGCTTGTGATTCAGGTTAGAGAATTCCAGTGGGCTAGGGGCTTGGGCTTTGGCTTCTGCAGAGCCACTCTAGTCACAGCATGCCCTGCCCCCACTGGTTCCACCGTCATCCTGGCCATTCTCAGATGGCAGGCAAAGCTTTTCCCCAGTGACAAATCAGGTGTTGTTTCGGTAGCAAGTGTGGGTCGTTAAAAGACGCATGTCATTTTGTATAAGGTGGGTAGAATTCTCATGTCATTCCTTGCCCCCGGTAGCCCTAAAAAGAACCTTCATCTTAACCAGACACAGCAGTGACACCGCACCCCTCCCTAGAAGTGGGAGAGGCGCATGTATGTATAACCCAAGCTCTTGACAGTTTGAAGGCAAGGGGGTGGGGGGTAGCTTTTCCTCCAGCTAAAGTAAAACGCAGGCCACCTCACGCTGGCATATATGCGGTTATCCATGTTCAGTGCAAGGGTGGGCGGTTATATTTTTGAGAGTGGCCTTAGTATTCCACAAACCCTGGCCATCGAGGTAACTGTGCAGCGAAGCTCAGTTAATTCCAGGTTTCAGTTCCTAGAACAAGGTAAAACCGCTCCCACTTTTTTCTTTTTTGAACACACAGTGTATTTTCTGCCTTCTCTAAAATCGTTCAGTTCAGGAGGTGCACTGGGGCTTGTGGGGTGAAAATCTACAATTGCTTTGTGGTGGGGATAGCTTTCTGCAGTTGATCCTAGGTGTCATGAGGCTGGAGCCATGAAACGGCCACTGTTGGAAAGAATCTCCCAGTTTAGAATGACTCCCTTGTATGGTTAGGGATTGGAATAATGGCAGATGGGAAGCGGGAAGGAAAAAGCTTGCCCTAAGATGATGATTCGTTTTCCCTTGGCTGACAAATCCTACAGCTTCTTCAGTCTAAATGGATGTGTCAGAGGAGAGGAGAGGGGAGAGGAGAGAGGAGGTGCTAACTGGTAGGAAGGGAAGGGTGCTTGTCATTTCTAGGTCCCCAGTTCAAATCCAGCCCAAGTTGACAGGGACTAAGAGTCACTGGCCCCTGAAAGCAGCTGCGTCCAGTGCAAAAAGCATCTGCTGGCTCTCAGTCCAGCTAGTTTTTAGCATGCAGATTTACAGATTGTTTAAAAAAAAAAAATCCACCATCCTGATTGGCAGCGTTGCCTGCAGCCTGAGCATGAAGGCCAAAGAATGACCACAGCCGTGCCCTGCCCTCTCATTGCTAGGAGACGGCTTGGCGGGCAGTGTGGGAAAAGGTTGCCCTGCCTGTACCCTGGTGATCCTGCTTTCTGGAGAGCCAGAGTACATCTGTCTCCAAACCCAGAAGGAGAATGGTGTGGAGATTGAAGTGATCTAGCCCCAGTTTAAAAACCAAAAGACTGGGGAATAAAACAGGCTCAAGTGAATTCCTAAGCGATAGCTAAATACGCAAAGGGACATGGTTACAGCTTCGTGCAGAATGAGCAAGGCGGCAGCATAAGACATGCAGGCAGATCCGTTTAAAATCAGCTTGTTCAGTAACTCTCACCTCCAGCTGCAGTACCTTACCCGGAACCCCAGGAATCTTTGCAGCACATGTTCCCAGGGGCTACTCGGAGTAACGCATCCCAGCATGTGTCTGAAAGGTCGCGTTTGCTTTGTTGTTAATGCATCCGCCTGCTGTAAACAATCGCAGCTCTCTTACAAAGAGCGAGGTTGTGCTGTTTAAGAGGCTAAATGCAAAGCTTCAGAATATGGGCTCCCAGCCTTGAAATACGTCACCTTTGCTGCATTGAAAGTGTAATGTTTCTGAAATGCTTCCGGACCCCTAAACGTCAACAGTTTAAAAAAAAACCCACACTCCTGTGACCTTAGCTCCCTGCCACTTTAAAAGAGCCTTGAGTTAGGCTCTTCCCTTCTCTTTGATCACGTCTTTAACAAGCAGAAAAACTATACTGCCGCGTTTCTTTTCAGCTAAGAAGCAGTTGATAATGTGTGTCGCAATGAACTGTTTGCATTTGAAAAGATTTTCTGTTTTTTCCATAGTCAGACATATAGACACTTGGAAATTATATTTTTTTAAATTTTTCTTGTAGTCCCAACGTTGAAGGGGGAAATTGACTTTATTGGTCATTGAGTCCAGAAATGGCTTGCTGGATCAATAGATATATATGCCTGCATGTAGAGATGCTTGCTTACATCTTTGGTGCGGGCATCTACTCACACAATGCTCCCTGCTAAAATCCAGGAGACACAAGTAATCAATCCGTTCAGGCAATAATGGAGAGAATGTGATAGTGTGAGGGGCTACCAGAGTTTTATTTCCATGTGTGTAGGGGAACTTAAGTAGATCATCCCATACTGATGACCATAAACTTTCCCTTTGTGGTAAACAAGCCTCCATGCATCCACCGGGTGGGAATTAAAAAGTACTTGAGAGACAATTCACCTGCCATCTCTTATTTTAATATATTTACAGTCCATTCAACCCTGATCAGCTAAGCAAAGCGTCTCTCCTCCCTCAACACCACCTGTCTAAACACAAAGCATAAGACGGGTTACAACCATCCGGAACACCTGCCATCGTTGGGAAAAAAAAATCTTCATCGCACCGCCAGGGTCACATTCAATTTATGCCAATTATGGTGTTTAGGTTTTGTCCTTCTGATTCTGTCTGCTTTTTCCCCTTTTAAGGAAGTTTCTATGGAAACAAACTGTCTCATTGACATGGGTGGAGCTTATTCATAGATTTTATAGCTTCATAGATTTCAAGGCCAGAAGGGCCCATTACGATCATCTAGTCTGACCTCCTATATAACACAGACCATTAAATCCCACCCAGTAATTTCTACATCAAGCTCAATGACTTGTGATTGAAGTAGAATCTCTCTTTTAGAAAGACGTCAAACCTTGATTTAAGGACTCCAGGTGACAGAGAATCCACCACATACCTTAGAAGGTTGTTCCAATGGTTAATTACCCTCACTTTTAAAAACGTGCATCTTATTTCCTGTTTGAATTTGTCTGGCTTCAACTTCCAGATAATGCCTTTGTCTGATAGATTAGAGAGCCTTCTGCTAGCTCTGTCTGGGTTCTTAGAAGGGGAAAGATGGTGTAATGGTTAAAGCTCTGGATGGAACATCAATAGTTCTGGGATAACACTGGCTTGAGACATACTAAGTTCTCCTTTTACCCATTTTCCAACTATGTTCTGTGCACATTCGGGATTTTTGTATTCTTTCTAGTTGCAAGTGATCACTGTGCTTTCGTTATTAAATATATTTGTATGAAAATAGCACCCACTAGCCTCATTCAGGATCACACCCCATTGCGCTAGGGCTCCGTACAAACCATATACAAAGATGCATTTTCTTTCCCTGGAGAGCACACAGGCTAAGCTGTCCAATTCTGTCTTATTTCAGGATATAATCTGGCCCATCCACGCTCTATAGTTTGTTCCTTTTTTGAATTTGCTCAAAAGGGGTATTTGCAATATTTGGTCATGTTGTAAAATTCAGTGTATAATTTAGATGTCTTTGTCAATAAATAAAAATTTAGTAGAAACAAGAAGTCAGTGTTTTGAAGTTATACTTTGTTTTCAGCCAAGGTTTTGGTGTTGTGTTGGGTCTTTATTTTTCAGACCATCCAAAAGGAAGACTTCACTTTTAAAGGATCCTATTATCTATAGAATACCTTCAGCATTTCAGCTCTGCCTCTTCTCGTCAAAGAATTAGACATTAGGTATTAGTAGAATGCCTCACAGTTTTTGAGACAAGTCGTCTTTTCCCCCTGAAAAACGGTGCTTTATCCAAAACCAACATATTTTGCAAAAAAACCCTGGCATTGGACTTCACTGGGTTGTTGTTTTGGGGGACGGGGGGTGCCAAAGATGCACTTTAAAAAAAAAAAGCTTGATGCTTTTATTGAAAATATCAAAAAGATTAACACTTTCACCAACAGTTTGGATAATGTTTGATCAAAATGATTACAAAGCAAAGTTTTGTGTGTGTGGAAAACCAGAAAATGGTTGGGTTTCAGACACTTTGAAATGAAACCAAGTTTGACATTTTTGGCAAAACTACTGGATTTTACCTCTTCCTACAACACTACCCCAGGCAAACGAGAGAGATCAGCAATCGGAGCTTTCTAAAACGTTGAGTGTATGTTCCCTCTACACTCAGGATAGCTAGCAGACTGGCAAGCCATTGGAAAAAAACGATAGATGGTCACACCATTCTTTTTTTATTTTTTTGGACTGATCCTTGATATTTTTAAAGCAAACTAGGAAATACCGTCACATCTCGTTTGCCTAATGGATTGGATGTGAAAAATATTTCTGTGACAAGTGAACACCCCAGGAGTTGTCTGAGCTGTCACAATGTTATATATTGTTTCTCCCCCCTCCCCTCCCAATTCTCTGCATTTCCCCTCTCCTGTTTCTACTTACAGTAGGCCTTGATGTAATTTACGACAGGTCTGCGTGTGACCTTGCATGTGTCTGGTATAGCGAACCACAGCTACCCTACATGCAGAAGCCTTGCTGTGACAGTTACATGATGAATGTAGTGCTCTAAAAGGAGTTGAATGTATTGGAGGGGAAAAATAAAAAACAACCCAACAACCCATAGGCTGAAGGAGAAATAAAAGCACGTTTTCCATTGCTGTTTAGCCAACACGTCTCTCTTGTTTACACCAGGCCTCTATCCTTGACTAAAACCTTTAGCAGAATGTGGGACTCTTTTGGGACTGGCGTGCTGGAGATCTCACTCTCCCAGCTACATCCCCAACATCACTAAGCAGACACCCCGCTAGAGCAGCTCATCTACGGCTTGCGGCAAGCTACCCAGCCAGAATGTTTGTCTGTAACAAGCTTCCAGGCTGCTTTCAAATAGGTCCCAGCAGCTTTGCCCACTGAGCTGCCGCGCTGCTACGCCAACCAAGTAATTGCAATTAAGATTTTTTTTTTTTTGGTATGTGGAATTGGGCTCATGTTGGAGGCTTTTGATTGGCTCGCAGCTAAATCGCAGTTTAGGGCTCAGTTGGCTGCATTTAGGGTTGTTGTGGGTTTTTTTATTGCAATCTGTTTGCTTATTTCCCTTTCCAGCACTGGTAGGAAACTAAACTCCAGTAAAATCTGCAGTCAGTGTGCGCTGAAGCTGGAGTGTGGCTTTAAAGGGTGTCTGTGCTCAGAACTGTGTGTGGGTGTGTGTGTGCAGAACAGTGTCATTGTGTGTGTGTGCGTGCTCAGAACAGTGTGTGTGTGTGTGTGTGTGTGTGCGCTCAGAACAGTGTGAGTGTGTGTGCTCAGAAAAGTGTAATTGTGTGTGTGCTCAGAACAGTGTAAGTGTGTGTGTGTGTTTATATATACACAAACATACCCACACACATGCATATTTCACATTTAACGTGGTGGTAGAGATGTCTGTCCCTGATCACCGTAATGAAAGGAAATCTGACCCTACAGAGGACTCGCCGGTACTAGATCTTCTCTTTGTACAGCACCATGACCCACCACATGACAGTCAGACACTACAGTCATGCACAGAGTATAAAAGGATAGCGAGATATGACTCTGTATAAATACTCCAAAAAGAAAGGAAAACTGTAAAGTAACTTAGGGCCAAACTCTGATCTACATTAGAAGCTGTCAGGGAACAGTCTACAACTAACTCATCCAGGGGAGAGATGTTACCCTCCTGGCCTGACCTTATGATATTTTTTGTTGTGCTACTGCCAGCCAGCAGAGGGAGCACAACCTGAACCCTCCTACAACTGGGTGGAAATTGACATCCTTCAATGGTGCTCTTGTCAACAAAGAAAAACCATTTTGGCTTGTGCTCCAGAGGAGCGTTCTTAACCGGGGGCGGAAAAACGGTGCTTTCAGAATCCGGCAGCTGGCCTGCTCACTAACACAGCCTACAAGGAATACGTCACCCCAATTTGTCTCTCCCTCTGCTGGCTCCCCAGTGAACAGAGGCCTGCCCAAGATGGTGGTCCTTTGGTTTTGGCCCCAACTATCTGAGAAATCACCTCCGTGGCGAAGAGATCACATGATGGCTTCGCTCTGCTGGAAAAATCAAGCTGTCGGTAAATACGGGCCGACCGTCCGCCTTGTGTTCACAACTACATGCAAACCCATTTCTTAGACTCATCTATCTTCGGGTTTTCTACCACTGCCCATCACCACAGCAGCGGGGTGCCTTCCATGTAAAATCAATAGCAAAGTCCCTCGTGGATTTTCATGGGGTCTCTGGTACGTCTCCCTTTTTGGGGGTCAAAACTCTGCTTGGGGTACAGTTTTTTGGAGGGAGGAGGGTGATAGAGGCTGGGAATAGAAGGGGGCACATGAGCTTTCCTGCAATAACCCCAATGCATCAGCATTCTCACACTTTAATAACTTTAAGCTTATTCCTTCCAACAGGACTGGAAGACAGAGATTCGTACGTTTCCTTCAGTACCATGGTGATGGGCCACCTTATGACAACCTAGACAGATTTCAGGCTTCTGACAGTCTCCCAAACAAGAGCGTTATACAAACGATACTGGAAAACATGAATGCTCCTTTAACGGTAGCTGTTTGTAGCCCCAGGCTCCGCCCCATTGGCCCTCCTTCTTTACAAATGCTTGGGGATCCTTTCACGCTTAAGTCGCGAAACATTATCGGGGAATATATTTGGGCAGAACAGACTACACAGGTGTCAAAAGTTCTACTTGTTCCCTGGCAAAGCCTCGTGCACATGCCAACGTTTCAGGAGAAAAACCACAGATGCCTTTGTCTGCTCCACTGAAATCCTCTGGGCTGCAGGAACCTCTAGAGGCTTTAGAAGGAGAGAGATTTTGCTATAAGATCAGGAGCGTGGTGGTTGAGTGAGCGTAGCCATGTCCCCCTCTAGTGGCCAGCTAAGGGCCTGCTACTTCATTGATGAGTGACTTGTTTAGCTCGAGTGGCTGGGCCAACTCCCATTGTGGGAAAACTCCCGCTGGCTTTAATGAGAATTAGCTCACATGGTCAGTCCTGACGGCCCAGGTCTCAGCTGACAAGCCATCGTGAGCCATCCCAGAGACAGGCAGCGAGAGGAGAAGCAACGTCCCCCCGTCACCACCAAGAGGCAGCAGCTCCCCTCTCCTCCTGCAACTGCCCCATACATCATGTATTTAGGATACAAAGGCGGCACAAGTGGGGGAGATGGCAGCTAAGTAAGAGTGCTGCCATGAAAACCAGCCCCTCCTTTCAACAGGTGCTGTCCCAAGCGGGTTTCAGCTCCGTCGCTACAATGGGGCTCTACAAAGCAGGGCTTCTCCTGGCTAATGCGCTAGTCCAAGGCAGCTGTCTCCCTCCCAGCTCCCTCCTGACCCCCCAGATTTTATGTTATATTCTCAAGCGCCTCCCCCCAGCACCTGTGAGGCCAGAGACAGCTCGGTGATATCCTAGAGGGCTCGGAGACTGAGGGGATTAGGCCGATCTGAGGGCTGGGACGGGGGGAAGGGGGATGTGGATTAGCGGGGCACACAGGGCTTCTGCTGTTCATTTCATTCATTTTAACGTGAATTTACTGCTGATGGGCGAGTTCCCGGCTGGCAGCCCCGAGCCCGCAGTCCGCACCTGGGAGCACTGGGCCAAAGGCCCCGAGCCCACGGCCCAGGGCCAGCGTGAAGACAGTCCTCATGGCAGACACATTGGGTTCAATCCCCAGTGTCAGCCAAGGGAGCAGCTGTTGCACCTACAGAAGGGGAGACGCTGTCCCCGCTTTGCTGAGTCTTTTCCTCCAGCACCATCCCCAGCGGCTGGAGCAGGGAGCCCCAGAAAGGCTGTTGCTTCAGGCTAAGAACTGCAAGCTGAACACTGCTGCTGGCATGTGCTTCACCCTCCCTGTCCCTGACCACTGCCCGCCCCCCACCCCTCTGTGTGCTCTTCCTGCTGCTGCCCTGCCCTGGCCCGGCCACCCATTCGGCTGGCTGTAAGCCGGCCAGTCCTGGTGTTCAGGGTTTGTCCCCTGACCGGTCCAGATAGAAAACTGGTTGTGGGTTTGTACCGAGCATGGGACGGAAGCCGCAGCTATTCCGAAGAGGGCGCCGCTCCACGCCTGCCGGCACACCCTTGCACCGTGTGGGCGGGGTCACACCAGCAGGGGGGCGGGGTCACACCATTCTCGGCAGTAGCGGAACGTCCAGAGTTCTGGGGATGTCTCTGTTGCCACCCTACCGACCACAGCGCTGGGCCCCACCTCATGCCCCCTGGCATCTCATCATGCCCTGCCCAGTGATCTAGTCCACCCACCTGTATATCGCAGGCCACCAGCACCACCCAGCCCCTGCACACTAGACCCAGCAACCGAAAGCAGACTAAATACTGCAGCCCACAGCAGCCTAGGCTATGACATGCCACAGGCAGAGAATAGGAGGGCCTGAGGGGCACCAGAGCCTGAGATCCCCACAATGGCAGGGAAACAATTACATGAGATACACCTAGATAATCCTGCAAGTGATCCTCACCCACACGCTGCAGAGGAAGGCAATCTCTGTCCCCCTTCCCCCAGCCCTGAGATCCCTGCCAGTCT